TGGGGTGGGATGGGGGGGTGCAGTCAGCCTCAACTTTGAGACACATTTTTTGGAATAGTTCACCTCACCTGTACTCCATGCTGTTCAATCATTATTTTTGTGTTCTTTATTTCCATAGAACACAAAAAGCAGAACATTATGCATTTGGCATACAACACAACTAGATATTAACTGTCACTGTCAAAAAGGACAAAAAAAGCGCCATTAAAGTAGTTCATATAACTCAATTTAATAGATTTGCATGAGAAACAGATTGAAATGCATTGTTCTTTGAAATTTGGTTCTGTTCGAAATGTCATACTGCATAGTACTATGTACTCAATGTCTCTACAGTATGCTGTCTCTCCATATTCTGTATACTGCACAATATACAAATGTATGCATTAAAGGGGTCATATGATGCGATTTCAATTTTTCATTTCTCTTTGGAGTGTTACAAGCTCTTGGTGCATAAAGAAGATCTGTCAGATGATCTGCTAGATTTGTCAGTGTGTGCCATAAGCAAGTGCACACTTTAAAATACTGTATCCCAGGCAGTCAATCTTTATTGGCTCATTATGTGATTGGACTGACTAAAGACATATTTGCATAATGCCACAAAATAAAACTGCATATTTTATACTTTTTTAAACAGTGTACAGTGTACCATAGCAAACACAGCCTTTTGTGAGCACAGTATGCCTGACGAGCAATGATGGAATGCAAGATTTTCAGTGAATTATTTCAATTTTAGTCTGTTCTTCACATAAAGATATCGTAGAGCTGATCTCAGAACTGTCATTAAAACTGGTTTCTAGGACAGCTGCAGGGAGAAAGACCGGTGGCATAATCTGAGCCAGGTCATGGCTCCATCAGAGCAGAAGATAGAGGGAAATCCTAGAATGTCCTTATGACCTTACCACTGACTCCTAGCCAAATTTCAAATTGATGAATAAAATTTCAGCATGCATGTTGTATATGTATCCATGCTGTATGGCACTTTTACCTCAATTGTAAAGTGAAATGGTTTCATTCCAAGAATGCTTAAGTAAAATATCAGTAGCTTTAATAGAAATCATAAACGTTAGTGTCCTCCTTGGTTGCTGTAGCCCTCGTCCTTACTGCTGTTTCTCATTACTGTTTCCTTACCTACAGTAACAGCTGCTCAGACATTCTTTTTCTTTCCTTCATTTACTTTAATAAATAACTTTTTGTGATTCCTCTGAAAAATCTGTGTATTCGTTTCCTCTGTAATCTCTGTAAATAAATTTCTCAGGGTCCTCTGTCTTTGGAAAGGAGGAACAAGGTTTTTGTCAGCAGTATGAATCTTTGAAGTTTTAATTCACCCAAAAACTGTCATCACTTATTCACTCTCATGTCTTACCAAACTCCTGTTACTTAATGGTGCCATCTTCTGTAGAACATAAAAGGAGATATTTTGACCAATGTTTATACAGTTCTTTCACATGCATAGCATATAGTGGAAAAAAATGCACTATAAAAATAGTCCATACAAATAATAAGCCTTATAAAGTATATAGGTTTTCTGCAGCCTTTTGATTTAACACTGTTCTAACCAAACACAACGCAACAAAGTGGTAGGCTTAAAAGGTATCTCTTCCATGATTTTTTACCGGTTTGTGATTGTGACAAGTGGCATTACATTTTGTCATTTACACTTTTCTGTTTCTGCAACATTGCGCAAGGAAGCCCCTCT